ACTACTACTACTACTATTACTACTACTACTACCACTGCTGCGACCACTACTCCTGCTACTACTACTACTACTACTACTACTACTACTACTACTACTACTACTACTACTACTACTACTACTGCTACGGCTACTGCTACTGCTACTGCTACTGCTACTGCTACTGCTACTGCTACTGCCACAAGTTCGCAGGGGACGGCGACTTGGTCGCTGCGACAATGTCGCATCAACTGTGGGGCCTTCAGTGTAACAACGTACTCCCTAGAAGGTGTTGGGCTCCAAGGAAGCGCGGCTTCCTAGCTGTTCTCCGATATGAAAACCAATACTTTCCAGTCAGAGAATCTGCATGAAACAAGTTCTGTTATTCCGTTGGACGGTGACCAGAGCATGCAGGGATGCCGCAGCGAGAAGCAATGCACACAGGAGAGAATTCGTGGACACAATAAAATACCGACAAGCTTGGATGATGAATATGCGCGAGAACTACGAGACCGGCCGGAAGCCAGGTACCATCTGCAAACAATCATTGGACAGGAAATGCTTCGAACCGCCAATGGATGGCTACAGGACCCTGACTACTTCATCTGGTTCGATAGCAAGTGGAGCTCGGCACATCCCCGCATTCTACTTCGGGAGGCTAGGCAGGCTCGATATCCTCCAAATGAGCGAGCTGTTTACGAATGGTGTCGACTTGTATATCCTTCTTGGTGCGCATTTTTGTGGGAGCCCGGGGAACGGCACTTTGCTTCAATTCCCATGACATTGCACTCAATGAAATGGACTTTCTATGCATGGCTCAAACAGTTTGCCAAAGCTAATGACCGAGGCAGGGGTTCTCGACATTACATATCCTCCATAGGAAAATGGCCAGGGAAGAGCCGTTGATGGTGGCGCTTCAAGATCATGCCTGGAAAGGACAGGCGCAGGTTCCGAAGCCGCCGCAGCCGTAGCTCTACACATGCAATGAATGTCAGGTTCTGCTTGAGACACGTGGGCAAGTGGTTAGATACGTGCCCCCAGCCCAATTACTGCCACCAAGTCTCTAAGCACAAAGTAAGTGTGGCAGCTGCTGTGAACATGTGTAGCTGGGCTCAAAGACGGACTGCATTTTCGAGCAGCGGCGTGAGCGACCCCAGTGAAGCAGTGGATCCACTCTGCTCAGACGGAGAGGACACAGCATCGGTGTCGCCTGGACGGCCCCCAGCAGGGCCACCGCTCGCTCTGCGCATCTCCCAGGTCCTGGGATTCTATGCAGACCAGCTGGAGGGACGTCATCTACTGCTTGCTGGACCACGACCACAGTTGCAGTGCGTAGAGCCGGCTCGAGTGAGGTTGGGGCGGACTCAGATATTGCCATGGTCGGAGCAGAGGGTGCAGTCACTCATTCGAGATTCGGGGTGTGCGACTCAACCATTGCTGCTGCACTTTCCGGATTTACCGCCAGTGCTGAACGTTGAGCCTCAGGTTCAATCTCTGCTGGATACATGGGCAACATCTGCCACCTCTTCAAGTGCTTTTACAGCGGCGCCCCCCAGTACTGATGATACAATTAGACAGATTTCGGAGCAATCGGGGCCGCATATCCAAACGAAATGAGGTTGTGACATGCGGCGCAACCTTACGAGTGCCAATCTTTGTGAGCACAGGACTGATGACGTCGTCCATTTTGTATCGGCTGACTGGGACCATTTCTCACCTTGATCACAATCCAAAACCGGGACATTACAGCGATACGCTGTTCGCCGCGAGCGCCGGGATTAAACTCTGCTCTACTCGAAACCGTCGCTAGGTGGTCTCGTGACTGCTGCGTGCAAAGCTTCAAAAGCTGCTACTGCTACTGCTATTGCTACTGCTATTGCGACTGCGACTGCGACTGCGACTGCGACTGCGATTGCGACTGCGACTGCGACTGCGACTGCGACTGCGACTGCGACTGCTACTGCTACTGCGACTGCTACTGCTACTGCTACTGCCACTGCCACGACGACTACGACGACTACTACTATTACGACTCCGAATACTACGTTCTACTTCAAATACTACTTACTACTACTATAATGACGGCTAGTAGTAGTAGCAGTAGTAGCAGTAGTAGTAGTAGTAGTAGTAGTAGTAGTAGCGTAGTAGTAGTAGTAGTAGTAGTAGTAGTAGTAATAATAGTAGAAGACTACTACTACTACTACTACTACTACTACTACTACTACTACTACTCTCCTACTCTTACTACCACTACCACTACCACTACTACTACTACTACTACTACTACTACTACTACTAGTACTAGTAGTACTAGTACTACTAGTACT